GCAGATCGGGGGGGACGAGATAGCTTGCCGCATCGCTTGTCATATTCCAGACGCTCCTCCTCCTCCTCATCATCATCATCATCATCATCATCAGCAGCAGCAGCAGCAACAGCAGCATCATCCTCTTCCTCCTCCTCCGCCTGCTCTTCCTCCTCCTCCTCCTCCTCCTGCTCTTCCTCTTCCTCCTCCTCCTCAGTATTCATTTCGCTCTAGCGCAGCGTCGCAGGCACCCCTCGGGTCGTCGCCGCCGCGCCGATGCCGGGTGCGATGCCGAGCGCGGACTTCTGCGCCGCCGCCGCGGGGCCCTCCTCGCGGCCCGTGGCGCCTCTGGGCTCGCGGTGGGGGGGGTCTCCAGCGGGGACCCGCCTGCTGCGCGCGGCGGAGGAGGTGCTCCGCGCCGCCGTGGCCGACAGGACCGGCCCCGCGGCGGAGCGGCCCTGCGCCGAAGGAGGCGGCAGCGCCGCCTGCCCCCATCCCCCGCGCGGGCCGCTTCCTCTGCGGCGTCGGCGTGGGCGCGGCGGGGCGACGGGCGGTGCCTCTGGGGCTGGGACGCGGCGTTGCCGCGGCTGTCCCCCCTCCGCCTCCTCCTCCTCCTCCTCCTCCTCCTCCTCCTCCTCCTCCTCCTCTTCCTCCTCCGCCCTCTTCGTCTTCCTCCTCCTCGTCCTCGTCCTCCTGGAGGCGCGCGCCGACGGCGGCGAGGAGGTCGACGACCACGAGATGGAGGACGGCCGGGGGGCGGCCGCAGGCCGCGGCGGCGGGGTCGCGCGCAGCCTGCCCTTGGTGGGCCTCCCTGTCGCTGATGTCGCGGCCCGACCCGTGGTGGCTGGGCGCGAGCCCGAGGAGGAGCTGGGCGACGGGATGGCGGACGGCCTCGTGGTGCTGCCTGGCCGCAGTGGCGCGGGCCTGGGCCCGCCCAACCCTCGCCCCCAACACGCGCGCGCGCTTCCGCAGCGGGCCGTTGCCGGGCGTGGGTGTGGCCGTCGTCACGGTCGGGGAGAGCTTCGCCTCCATCCGCCTCGATGCGGATGATCCCTCGTTGCAGCCCATGGGCGTCGCCCTGGGCATGCTGGAGCCGCTGGGGCCTGGTGTTCGTCTTCGATGAGCGCCTCTTCGTGTCCCTCGTTTGGCGGTCGCGTCCATGCCCCCGATACAGCGAGGAAGGGCCGCACCCGCCGCTGGACGTGGCGCTGTGGGGCCTCCCTCTTCTGGGCCAGTCGTTTCCGTTCTTGGTCGCGCCTCAGGCTGCTCGCACCTCCTCCGCTCCCTCCTCCTCACTCTCATCTACATCCTCCTCCTCCCACTCATCCTCGTCGTGGTCGGAGAGAGCGGCACAGGACAGAAACAGAGGAGACGAAGAGGGGGAGGACGGCCCACTGCTTTGTCGTGCCGATGCTGTCCTCGTTGAACGAAACGCGAATCGAAGAATGCACGCTCCGCAGGGAGAGATGAGGAGCAGGATGGAGGAGGAGGAGGAGAAAGAGGAAGAGGTCTAGGAGGAGGAGGAGGAGGATAATGATGATACTGATGATGATGGTGATGATGTTGATGATAATGATGATGATGATGATGATGATGATGATGATGATGATGATGATGATGATGATGATGATGATGATGATGCTGATGATGCTGATGATGATGATGATGATGATGATGATCATGATGATGATGGTGGTGGTGGTGATGATGATGATGGTAAGATGATGACGGTGATGACGGTGATGAGCATGAGGATGATGAGGATGAGGATGAGGATGAGGATGAGGGTGGATTTGAGGATGCTGATGGTGATGAGGATGATGGCGCGGATTATGAGGGTTGCGATGGCGATGGTAAGACTGATTATTATGAAGGCGATGATGATGGTGATGATGATGACGATGATGATGACGATGATGTTGACGATGATGATGACGATGACGATGATGATGCTCATGACGGTGATGATGACGATGACGATGACGATGACGATGATGATGACGATGACGATGACGATGACGATGATGATGATGATGATGATGATGATGGTGGTGGTGGTGGTGGTCATGATGATGCTGATGATGATGATGATGATGATGATGATGATCGTGATGATGGTGATGATGATGATGATGATGATGATGATGATGAGGATGATGATGGTGATGATGATGATGATGATGATGATGATGATGGTGGTGGTGGTGGTGGTGGTGGTGGTGGTGATGATGATGATGATGGTGATGATGATGATGATGATGGTGATGATGATGATGATGATGATGATGATGATGATGGTGATGATGATGGCCTGTTCCTTGAACGATAACCCCTGATGCGTTGAAGGCCGCGCGGGTTCTCCAGAACCGCCCCGGCTCAAGCCTTCTCTGCGATGGACCCCGGCCGCCATCGCGCCGCCCGCGCTGGGTGCCGCCGAGGGCGGCGCTGGGGCCCGCCCCGCCGGCGCGGAGCTGCCCGGCGGCCGCGCTGCCCGCTCCCGCCTGCCAGCGCCGCCGCTGCCGTTGCCCGGCGCCCTCCTGCGAGAGGCCCGCGCCACTTGCGAGGCCGCGCCGCTGAGTTCTGGCAGAGGGCAGCAGCCCGGGCGGCAAGCCGGATCGGCGCGTTCCTCGGGGTGCGGGGGAAGCTGGCGGGCTGCCTGATGAGCGCTGGTGCTGGGCGCTTCGGCTTCGTCGCCGCATCGTGGTGCGCGTCCGTCGCCTGGAGCCGCGTCGCGCCGTCGTGCTGTCTCCCGACCTCGATGTTTTCTTGGCGCACTTTAAGGCTGATGATGATGATGATGATGATGATGATGATGATGATGATGATGATGATGATGATGATGATTATGATGATGATGATGATGATGATGATGATGATGATGATGATGATGATGATGATGATGATGATGATGATGGTGGTGATGATGATGACGATATTTTAGTTTGGCATTGCTGCGCTCCCGGCAGTTCGGGGGCCGCGGCCGCTGCGGGAGTGGCGCTGCGCGATTTCCAGCAGCCGCTCTCGTTCCAGGATCTCTTCAACATCGCACCGATGGCGGACGGCCCCAGTCAGGTCCACGGCGCGCAGTTCGCCGCCGATAGAGGTGGCGCAGCCGTCGTCCCAGCGGGCGGCGCCGCGGCCCTGTCGCCGCTGGCGCCCCCAGGCCAGCCGCTGCCGTGGCGGGCCCCGCCGCCCCTGGGCCAGGGGCCGCCGCCGCTGGGGCCGCGCTGGGTCGGGTCGGAGCCTCGCTTCTGGCGGAGCGGCCGACGACTGCAGGGCCCTGCCCGTCTCCTACGACGTCATCGGCGCGCGGCGCAGGTCCTTCGCCGCAGGCGACGCCATGCTGGCCTCGCTGTCGGAGGGATACTGGCCCATCCCCGGGCCGTGCACGGTCCTACGGGGTCGCGACCTTCATGCTGGAGAGCGATGGCAGCGCTATGGGCCATCATGCGCAGTGGAGGTATACTATGCGCCTTGGGTCGGGCGACATTGCGGTCTCGACCCACCTGGAATTCGGCAAGATCTTCGAGGACGCGCTGTTCTACAGCCAGCTGGACAGCAGCAGCGTCGCGAGTTGTGAGCTCGTCACTCGCCGGCTTCGATTGGGCGAGGGGCGCCATCGCAACCTTCCCCTCGGCGTCAAGAAGGGCAGATGAGACGACCGCGACGAGTGCTACTACTTCGCGGGGATTGCCACCGCGCGCGGGCTCACGGCGGCGCCCACTCTCTGCGCTCGGGTCAGCAAGCAGGCCTCCCGCGAGAATGCAGTGGCCACGGAGCTCAGGAAGGGCAAGGGAAGAGCGCGCTCTCGTCGGGCCCAAGACGGGGCCGAAGGGCGGCCAGGGCTGGTCTCGGGCTGGCCTTTCACGGATTGGGTTGCCTGCTGCTCGCTGGCCCTGGGCTGGCAGGCCTTCGATTTTTCAACCTCGGTGGGATGGCGCGCCACCGCGATGTTTTCCCACTGCTTCCTTTTCAGGTCCCTGAAGTTCGTGGCCCTGGCCTGCGCGGCGGCCGCGCTGTCGCCCGCCGTGGCCGCCGCCGCCGCCGCGCCGTGGAGTGGGCCAACGACGGCATCTTTTCCCTCTTCCAGCTTTCTGGACGCGGTGGAGAGTCGGCCGGCACGCCGACCGCCGTTCGGCAGCTCGGCCCCCAGGGCTTGGAGCGCAGCAACCTCGCCGTAGGCGCCTGCCCAGCCGACCTCCACCCCCGCGGGGGCCTCCGCGAGCTCTGCGGCGCCGCCGTCCTGCGCGGCGAGACTGCCGCAACCGTCGCGCCCCGCAGCAAGGCCCTTGCGTCCTGGCCGGCCGCGGGCGCGGCGCAAGTGGACCTGGCCAGCGCGCCATCTGCCGATCGCCTTCCCTGGTCGCGGCCAAGATGCGATGACCTCCGGCAGCGGCGGCAGCCATTCGGTCTGAACTCGGACTTCTTCGCCCTTGCGTCGACCCCGCTCTCCGCCACCGGCGCGTCTAGTCGGACTCTGTCAATGGGGCGCTGGATCGCGGGGCGGCGCGCCTCGAGCTCGCGACGGCAGACGCGCCAGTGGGCTTTTCCTCGCGATGAAGAAGTCGGGCCAGCAGCGGATCATTTTCGACGCGCGCCTCGCCAACTGCGACTTCGAATTCCCGCCGTCGACGCACGTGCCTCCTGCGACGGCCTTCGCAAAGATGGAGACCAGCGAGTGCGACGTGGTCTGGCACTCGTTCGGCGTCATCCAGAACGCCTTCTACGCCGTCGCGGCGCCTCCCGAGCTGGGCTCGCTCTTCAGGCCCCCCCCCGGCGCGAGCAGGCGCCGTCGGCCGCCAGGAGGTGAGCGGAGAGTGGCTTGTGGTCGCTGCTCTATTGGCCCCAGTGCTGACGGCGTTGCCGATGGGCTGGAGGAGCTGGGCGCCCCTCCTCTGCCAGCTGGTTATCGAGGAGGGCCTGGCCCCCGGCGGGCCCAGCGCGGGCGCCCCAGTCAAGGACCGCGCTGCGGCGAACCCGCTCGGGCTGGCCCGTCCGCTGCGAGCCGCAAACTACGCGGG